TCGTCTCCTGAGACCCCCTGTTGGAGCTGGACTCCGACAGGAAGGGTAGGGGACTGAAGTGCCACAGTGGGCAAAAGGGGAGGCGGGGAGGTCTGGAGGTGGGGGGGACTGTGAACACAGGCTCTGCATCTGCCCCTGGCTCTGGCTGTTGGAGGTGTTCAGAAGTGACCCTGAAAGGAAGCATCTGACCCATCCTACCAGGGAAAAGCAGACTGACCTCCCGCTGCTGCCCTTCAGGGGCTGTGTCCACCTGGGCAGGGGCCCTGCTGGTCAGTGTAGATCAAGGACAGTTCCATAAATGGAGCTCCACAGGCCTGGATGACGAAAAGCTTTGTGACAGTCACTGTCCCGTCACTCTTGTAAAAGCAAGTTAGCTGCAGAGCCAGGAGCCCCGTGAGTCAGCAAGACCACCTGGGAATGCAGGATCCCAGGACATGGGTACTGCCGACCAGCAGAGCTGGGGTGTCTTCTACCCATAAATGCTGTGGCCTTAAGCCACCACCACATTCTGCAATGACCCAGGGGCTGGTCGGAGATTCCTCTTACACTGGGAGTGTCCTCATCTACTCTCCCGATCCAGGGCCCACTGGGTAGCTCTCGGCTGGAGACACAGGCGTGATCTAAATGGCCTGGGTCCTGAGCTCAGAAATGCAGGCAGAATCCCTTTTCGGAGTCAGAGACCTCACACCCACCTTCTGCACTGGATACCAGCAGGGCTGCTGCAGGGAGGGGAGCCCCAGGGGTGGCTTCATGGCCGGCAGGGTGCACACCCCCAGCCAAGGCGGCGTGGAAGAGGTGGGCACCCAGCACAGGCCAGGGCGCTGGGACAGCGGGGACCTGGACTGGCAAGACGAGGTGGAAAGGCAGCCTCTCAGGCCCCGTCCTCCCTCGTCCCTTCTGTGGGTGGATTTTTTTTTTTATCTTTTCCCAGTTCCAACTTGGGTATTTTTAATTTTTCCTTTTAAGTAACACAGGCTCAAAGCCTCCCACTTTTCCTCTGGGAACATCTCAGCCATCTTCCCAGATGTCCTTGTTTTCAGGACGCTCTAAGTCCAGCTCTTACTTCCTCGTGGACCAGTGCCTGGAAGAGGGCCTCCCAGTTTCTAGGTGCTGCTTCTCGTTGCTGCTCAGGCCTCGCAGGTCCCACCTTGGGAATCGGCAACCCGAGGCGCTCTGTGGCTCTAGGCGGTGCCTGCCCACAGTTCCTGGCACTCGGGCCTAGGGTTAGAGCTTAGCAATGCAGCGAGACCCCGTCTCCACCCTCTTCCCCACCCCAGAGCTCCCTCACAGAAAGGAACCAGGCCCAGGTGGGTAAGTCTGACTGCGGCAGACGGCGATTCCAGGACAGGCCTCCGCACAAAGCTTCAGAGGTCAGGAGAGGAATGGGCAGGCGAGGAGATGGAGAGAGGCCAAGGGGCCCGTGGGCTGCAGAGCAGGGGCCAGACGTCCCCGCTGAAAGACAACATCAGCTGCCACTGGGAGGAAGTGACTGAGGGGGGCAAAGAGGGCTGAGGACAGACCTGGGGCAGCCACACTGGGGTAAGATCCCCAGCACCACACACCACGCAGGTGCCCAACATCTCCCCGCTGAGCTACGCAATGCCCACCATGTGGGGGCAGTGGATCTGCAGTGTGGTGACAGAAAACTGTGGGACGGACTCCAGGAGGGCTTCCAGATCTCCCGAGAGGCCAGGGCAGCATTGTCTAGCTGTGGGCTCTGAGGCCTCGAGTCGTCAGGGCCAGCCAGGGCACTCCTGACTAGAAGCACAGGCCTGGCCCTGCAGGAGCCGGCCCTCCAGGAGAAGGGCTGGGAACCTGTTCTCTTGAAGCAGAAAAGATTCCTGAGGGTCAGAAGGGCTGTAAACTGCTGCAAGAGCCCCCCTCCATGCTTCCCAGCACTCAGGGGTGGAGCAAACCCCTCCCAGGAGACTCCGGCTGGATGTGCATCTGAGTGGAGCCAGCTTTACCCAAGACCCAATGTGACGGGTGAAACTGAGGCTCCTTCCCGAGACCAGAGATGACCCCTCTCCACTGCTCTCCTGCTGTAAGACCCAGTTCCAGAGCCAGATGTCCCTGGGATGAGGATCAACTTTGTCCTCGTCCTGGCTGAAATGACAGGAGCCCCCACAGGCATGCAGTGACTGGGCCCAGGCCCTCACCAGGGTGGTCCAGGGGGCAGTGGCGCCCACCATGAGGAACAGAGCTGCCGTGCCCAGTTCATTCCTAACCAGAACTCTAACCTCGTCTCCTGTCCTAGTTTTAAGGGCCCTTCCCAGTCATTAGGGAGGTCACAATGGGCAACTGTAGGGAAAAGGTTCCCTTCCTTCCAGCCCTTTTCAAATAGCTCCCAGGAGAAGGGCACCACACTCTTCCTTAGGTGTCCAGGATGAGTGTCCAGAATTAGGAGACAGCTCTGACCAGCAGAAGGAGCCCTCGCCCGCCGCTCCCTCCTCTCCAGGGCTGAGGTCTCCAGGAGCTCCCCTACGACCAGCACCCCAGCATCCGGGCCACGTGCCCCAGGCCTAGAGTTCCTCAGCAGGCCTGGGCCTGGGGGGCTGTGGGGATGAGGCTGCAGACCCCCAACTTCCAGGGAGAGACCACAACCTCCACTCATGTCAACAGAGAGGTGACCAGATCTGAGGGGCTGGAGGAAACACAAACACAAGGGGCCAGGAGGGCCGAGGCCAGAGGAAGAGCCAGCTCCACACAGAGGAGACACCTGAGGTAGAGGGGGGCCGTCTCAGCTGACTGCAGGCGGGACAAGAATTTCCTCACGATGGACTGGGTGAGCCCAGCCACGCACACCTGCTGAACTTCAGAGACTGGCCACAGTGCTGGGGGACTGTCCACCAGGGCAGCAGTTCCCCAGAGGGTCTCTAGTCAACAGCAGCAGCTCTGCACAGTTCTGGGGCCCTCAGCCATACCGACCACCGGTGAGGCCCGGTGAGCAGCTGTGGCTGTCCCGTGAGCACCTCAGGCCGCAGCAGTGTGCCCAGGGCACCAGTGTCCCATAGAGTATCAGTGCTGGCTGAAGACCAGGGATGGGGTGGAAGGTGCGAGTGAGAAAAGCCCAGGCTGGCAGGCAGCTGAGGGGTGGCCAGAGAGCTCAGGGCAGAATCCAGTCCCCGGACTTCCCAGCAGAAACCGTGGAATCCACAAGACGTGGAGCAGTGCCTGGCAGCCCCATGGGGAGGTCGACTCCCCACATGCCACACTTGGGGCTGGGGTTGTAGCTCAGCGGAGGAGCGTTCACCTAGCACGTGCAAGGCCCTGGGCTCGATCATCGGCACCATGTCAAAATAAATAAAATAAAGGTATTGTGTCCAACTACAACTAAAAAATAAAATAAACAAAATGTCACTTAGCCAGGACACGGCCAGACATGCAAAACTCAGGAGGGGCCCCGCAGCCTATAACCAAAGGACGTCCCCAGATGAGTGCTCCCTGTGGTGGTGACGATGTGGCCCTAAGCCCCAGCCCACCAGCCTGCCCCATCGGCCACGGAAGGTCAGCAGTGCTGTGGACATGTGAGGCTCAGGACGCACGCCCTCCACTTGGCAGCGACGGCGGAAGGCACCCTTGGTGAGAGCGCCACCACCGCACGTGGCAAGCCAACGTCCTGGCAGAAGGCTCACGGACCTCAGGTGAGCCACAGGAAGCCGAGGACAATTCCTGCCAATTCCAGCAGCTGGGGCCTGGGGTGGCTGGCTTGGAAGACGGGGCTGCTGCCCACCAGAAGGGGCTGGGAATGCTCAGGGCCACGGGGCCTCTCAAGGCAGAGCTACGCAGGGCCTGGAGCGCTCCTGTTGGAACAGCTGCCCTGTGAGAGACTAGTTAATCAACCCACCGACAGCCACCCCGGAGGGGTGCAAAGACAAAAGCATCATGAAACCGAGGAAAGGAAACACAAAAGAGTCAGATTAGTTTAAAAGAAAAAAACATCCCTCGAATCCAGGCCCAGCCTCCCACAGGCCTAGGACCATCAGTCCTAAAGCTGAAAGGAACCTATGTCGCTTGTTCACGGGATGAGGACCCGCCAAGTGCCTCCAGGCCTCAGAGTGAAGCACTGGAGCCAACACAAAGCCTGCTCCTGGGAATTCTTGGCACAAATATCAGTGTAAACCTGCACAGAGAGGAGCCACAGGGCTGGGATTTGAAGGATGAGCAGGAGTTCTCTGAGCAAAGAAAGGAGAACTTGGTGCTCCAGGTACCAGGAAATGAGAAAGCAAATGCACAGCACTGAGAGCGCCTACTGCACCTGAGGAGCCAGGAGGAATGAGGAGGAATGAGGAGGAATGAGGAGGAATGAGGAGGAACGAGGGCCTCGGCACACCCAGGACGGCAGCGCCGGCGGGATCCCACACCTCTCCTCCAACTGGTTGCCGCTGCCCGCACCACTGACTACTTCCTCCAAATCAACTTGCTTTTTTTAAAGTTCACTTTAGTCCCAACCAAAATGTCAACATCCGTTTCTGAGTTCAGTCACACACATAAAAATATTACCCACTGTTAAGATAAAAATGCCCCTCCTTGAACCTGGAGCCCAGCTGCTTGGGTGGCGGCAGCATCCCCCACACCCGGGGAATCCGGGGCAAGGACTTCAGTCCTGCAGTGTCAGAGGCAGAATCTGTGCTTACTTGAAACAAACGTAAGCATGTTTAACTACCTGCTTGTCATAGCACTCTTCTCTGGGGACACTGCACCCCTGCAAGACCCTGCCCCTGGCCGACAGGCCATTATTAAAACTCACCTTGCAACTCTGAGGACCCAGGGTCACGTGTGACCATGCCCCGGGCTCTAATCAACCATCCTTTACTTCCAGTGTTAAAATGGGCACCCACAGTAGTTCAGCAATTTCTTACGCAACCTCCTAAAAGTGTAAATTCATAGTTCACTAAACACAAGAGCCTCAACTGGGTCAGACAGCAGCCCGGCTGCCCAGGGGACGCATGGGGGCAGCGACAGGGAAAAGGGGTGCAACCGGAGTGACCTCACCCTACCTCCATGCACGAAGCCGTGCAGGGTGCAATCCGAAGGCCCCACCAAGTGAATCAGGCTGGACTGGCTGTAGCTCACGGTGTTGGGCTCTGGAACAGCAAAGACAGAGAGGAACTGTAGGTGGACCAACCCCCGCGGCCCAGGACGGTGATTCTGCAGCTGCCCAATGACATCTGTGGGTCACTAAAGGTGTCCAACTGTGTCAACCTAAATAGGATTTCTCCAAAGGGAACTGTGGTCCCCAACAGGCCACATCTGCTGAAGGGAAGGCTCTCCAGGACCAGTGGCTCACAAAATATTCTCTGGGGATGTCAACGCCCCACATGGCCCTGCCCATGGGCAGCCAGCCAACGCCTCTTGGCTGTAAGGTGCCTGGATTGCACGTGGCCCTCCACTGGGATGTAATCAGTCATACTTCATTTCCAATTTTATAAAAAGCACCAAGCGTATCATCCGTAATCTACTTTGCCAGCCCCAGTCCCTGGACTGGCCCAGGAAGACGCAGTCCCATCTGCCAGGCCAGCCCTCCCACCCTCCTGTCCTCTACCATGCATGGCTGTCACCAAAACAACTCCAAGAGTGGCAAGTGCCTTGACGAAGCTTCAGTCACTCAATGCTGCTACTGAAATATCTGTAAGGGGCTCTACTAGCAGAAAAAAACGTCAAAAGGGACCATGAACTAAAATCAGTTTCCAAGCATGTATGAGTTTGGGGGATGAACCCAGCTGCTATGTATAACCATAGCCACAGTTTAAAAAAAATAGTCAAAATACAGTCCTATCAAGGTAGACGTCACTCCTCCGTGCTCTTTCCTCAGGAGGGGTACAGAAAACCAGCACAGAACCTGGGCGACCCTCTAGGCAAGGAAGAGCCTCCTCGGTCCAGTGTGGGTAAGGGGCTCAGAATGCTCCCTTTGACTAATACAGCGGGAGAAGGATAGAGCTCTCAGGCCACAGCCTGTCTTCTCTTCTTTTTAGTTCCGGGGACTGAATCCAGGGGCACTCTACCAAGGCACTGCATCCCCAGCCCTGTTTTGTTTTGTTTGTAATTTGAGACTCGGTCTTGCTAAGCTGCTGAGGCTGGCCTCAAACCTGCGATCCTGCCTCAGCCTCTGGAGTGGCTAGAATTACAGGCCTGGGCCACCAGGGCCCGCCACTGTCTCCTCTCCTGTGGTGAGACTTAGGGCCCACCTGGGTAACTCAGAATGTCCTCCTCCTGACTGTGACTTGACCCCACTGGCCAAGGCCCTTCCCCCACGTGGGGTCCTGTGCTCGGGACCCAGGGGTCTGGGTGTGCTCTCATCTTCTGGGGACACCATCCGAGCCTTGCCAGCTTCCCTCTCCCAGGAACATCCTGCACGCCAGGCCGCCTTTTAGGCCTCAGGGTCCGTCTGGTCTGCCAGCTGGTCTCCCTCCCAGGAGCAGAGCCGGAGCACAGGGTCACTGCTGGCAGTGTGTGCCCCAGGGCCTTGCAAGTGACAGGGACCTGACACTCTCAAGTGACCACAGACGGCCAGGCTCGTCTTGGCTATCACTGCTATGGAGCCACTCATTGTCCATCATGCCTAATTTTCCAAAGATACCACCCCTCCCCCAGTCCCACCTGGGTTCTGGACGGGCTGGACGATGTCCCCATTCCTCCACTTGGTCTCCATGCGCTCCAGCTTCTGGGCTTCATACCGCTTCCGGCCTTCCTCCTCCTGCTCCTGCCGGGAATACTGGGGAAACAAGGGGAGGGTCAGGCCTTAGGTGGGGACAATGGCCTTCCTCGAGCCTCAGGGACAGGGGTGTGAGGATTATCTGGCTTTTTGTAACTGGATCTACTGTATTTCCCGATGACATATTTGATAAGGAACAAATACAGAGTAGGTAAAAATCTGCAGTCCCAATCCCAGAGAGAAGCAGGGCTGCATGTGTGGCTCAGGTCCTTCCTGGAATCTCCCGTGAATACGTAAGAAGCTGTCATGCTACACACGGAGGCTAAACGTCGCTCCACCGTGACGTGGTTCTGTAACTGGCCTACTGTATCTGGCCACCCAGCCTGCTCCCCATCCTTCACCGCTGAGATAACACCACGCTGAGCACCCTCATCGCTCCTCATCTGTCGGCACCTGCTGCATTCCTGGAACTAAAACAGCCAAGTCTCAGGGCCTGTGTGTCCTGACCCTGGGCAGCTCTCCCCTGACAGGCCGCACTCTGCAGGGCACCCAGGGCTGACACAGACACGAAGCTCTTAATGGACCATAGGGGTTCTGACCCAAGAAGTTAAAAATTTAAGTGTGGCCACGCCTGTAGTCCCAGCAATTCAGGAGACTGAGGCAGGAGGACCACTAGCCAGGCCACCCTGGGCAACATAGCAAGACCCTGTCTCAAACTATAAAAAATAAAAGGGGTGTGGACGTAGCTCAGTGGTAGAACACCCTAGGGTCCAGTCCCCAGTACTGCAAGAGAAAAAAGTGTGACAGTGAATATAAAGTCTGTCACGCAGACCAAGGCTGCTCTGTGCTAGGCACCAGGACACTGGGTTTCTGTCCTGTGTTCACTTGCTGCATCCAGAGCCACCGCGCTCCCACCAGTGGAGGGGACATGCCACAGTCTCCCTGTGCTCTCCCCAGGACCCTCAGAAGGGCCTGGGTCCTGTGTGCTGGCTGCAGGCAATCTCAGCCCTTCATGCACCTCGCCCAGTGCCTTCTGCCTCTGGGCTGTGAGCCTGGCCCTTCCCTTGAGCCTTGGGCCAGCCTCCCCACTGACTACCACCCCGCCGACCACCTCCCTGCCTTCTCCTCCTCCTTTACTCACGCAGCCAGCATTTCCAGCTGAGCCGTGGGGGCCTCTGTCCCTGCTGAAGCCCCTATGACCTCTAAGCAAGTTCATCTCAGTTGCACCGAGACCTTTCTGAGGCCAGGTGTGAGCAGCTCCATGTTCCTGCTAATGGCCCAGATCCAACACTGAGAGGGTCCCAACGTCACCCAGGCTTGGTTACCATCCCCTTCTCCACAGAGGGAGTGCAGGGGGTTTGTTTGAAGGAAATGAGCCGTGGGGAACCCAACCTGTCCCGTGAGAACGCTTCCTGAAGTCTGTCATCCCAGGTAGCGACTGCAGGAGCAGAGTCTGTGCCATGTCTACCCAGTAAAATCGCAGGCTGAACACCCGTCCTCAGAAATGCCTTTCAAAGAGGTGGGAGGCGTGCAGCTCAGTGACAGAGCACCTGCCTAGCGTGCTCAAGGCCCTGGGTGCAATCCCTAGGCCCATCAAAAAAAGAAAGAAAAAAAAAAACTAGCTTTTTTTTTGTTTTTAAAGAGCCAACTGACATCTAAGCAACCCTCTCTGTGTCCAGCACACACCAGCGCTCTGTGGGCACGTGGGGAAACTGACAGGGCCAGACCTGGGCCTGATCCACAGGAAGAGGCCCAGGCTCTTCACACACACGGCCTTTAAATCTGGGAACCACTGGAACATTATTTTTAATACATATATTATTTTAGTTGCCGTAGGACATAATAACTTTATTTTATTTACTTTTACGTGATGCTGAGGATCAAATCCAGCACCTTACATGCATTAGGAGAGTGCTCCACCGCTGAGCCCCAGCCCAGTGCCCCCACGGAACATTTTAATGAAGGGCTGCCTGTGCTCACCCCGGGCGGCGGGGGGCTCATCAGGCCAAGCCGGCAGGAAGCAGCAGGCAGCCCGGCCAGAACTCTCAGACCAGGCTCCCAACACAAGGCAGTCTGACCTTTGGGAAAATCATGTCCAGCCCCCAAGGCCACTGAGGACTCTCAGGTCTGTGGTTCCTTAATCATCACAGCGCCACTGAGTGTTCCAATCACTGGGAAGGTACCACCACTGCCAGGCAAGCGCAGGAGGTACAGCATGGAGACACAGTTGTACCCTAAACGGCACTGCCCTCAGCCAGGAGCCAGGCCCGTGCGCGCTCAAGACGTCCACATGTGCACGTGGGTGTGAGCATGTCACACGTACGTCTGTTTAGATACGGAGATGGAGGCTTCTCTCATGAGCCGAGGTCGAGGTTACCTGTGAGGGGTGGTGGCAGGGTCCTGGCAGGGCACTCCGAGGCCAAGCTCCCAGCACACACGTTCCTAGAACCAGAGAACACGCAGCCCTGTGCTCCGGATCAGCGGCAGCCCCAACTGCGGGCTGGGCCACAGGTCAACAGCTCTGGGGCCTCATTACGCTGCAGCAGCCCCACCTGCAGGCCCTCCGCACCCCTCCGCCAGGGCCAGGGTGGCATTTGTGCTTCATCAGCCACACCAAAGGAGCTACGGGGCTCCTCAGGGTGTGGGGGGCACCCTGACTGGGCAAGGGACGCAGGCCAAGTGTGTGCTAAGGCCCTGGCAGTGTGTAGAGGGAACGGGAGCCACAGGCCCCTTGCCAGCAGCATGTGGCCCTAATGAGCAAAAAGGCAGCAACCTGGCCTCGCTCAGGCCAGGAGTCCCCTGCAGGTGAGCTGAGGCCTACGTGTGGCCTGTCGGCATCTTAAAGTTAAACCAGGTGAGCAACTGCCCGTGATCATGTGTGTATGTACCTGGGGGACCGAGGAACTGACCTGCCAGCGAGCACTTGGGAGCAGAGAGAAGGGCTTGGCCACTTCCTGGGGAGCTGCCTGTGGGCCCACGCCAGCCAGCCTCCCAGTCTTCGCCCCCAGGGCACACGCGTGTAACCGGGGCCACGTGAGACCCAGCCTAGAGCAGGGGGAGGAGAGCCACCAGGGAGGGTGGGGGAGGGCAGCACACTGGGCTGAACAGTGTCCCTCACATGTGACCTACAGCCTCAAAAAACGTGCACATTTTGGGAAAAGGGTTTCAGTAGAGGTAATTAAGAAGCCACACGCAGAGGGACAGGCCCTAAGTTCCACAACTGGTGTCCTAGGAAAGCCACGAGAAGACACATGGGGGGGGCAGGTGGAGGCAGGAGCCCTGCAGCCGCCAGAGGATGGAGGCGGCAGGACATGGAGGGAGGCCGCCCTGGCTGCACCTGGACTTGGGGCTCTCGGTCTTTGGAACTGTGAGGGAATAATAAATTTCTTTCTTCTAATCTATACTTTGGGGTTTTGTTGTTTCCGCAGCCCTGGGGATTGAACCCAGGCCCGGACACGTGCCCAGCAAGCAATGTGAGTACTGAGCAGCATCCCAGTCTACTTCCTTGAAGTCATTCGGCCCCTGGCACTTGGTCACAGCAGCCCCAGGACACTCACACACACAGGGAGGCTGCAAGGGGCTGCCTGCCTCCACAGCTCACAGGGACCCGTGGTCACTCTGCTCACATGGTATTTGGCGGGGGATGGGTGGGATGGAGGGTCACTACAGCCAGAACCTGGAGGTGCTGTCTCTGTTGTCACCACGTAAGTGCCAACTGACCCAGGCAAGGCCTACCTGGCCTTCCCAGGAAACACGAATGGGGTCTTCTGTTGTTAAGCTGGTTTATTGTTGTTATTTATTATTTTTAAATTTTTGGTACCAGGGATTGGACCAAAGGGTACTTAACCAGTGAGCCACATGCCAGACCTTTCTATCTTTTGAGACAGGGTCTCACTAAGTTGCTTAGAACCTAGTTAAATTGTTGAAGCTGTCCTTGAACTTGGGATCCTCCTGCCTCAGCCTCCCAAGCTGATGGCAGGTGTGGCCACCGCGCCCAGCAGGCGTTTTTGAGAAATGTCGCCTAACATGAAGCTGGACCCAGCGGCTGGCTACCCTCACTGGAAAATGCCACACCCAGGCCTTGACCAGCTTCACAGGGGCCCAGTCAGATAGAGCAGGGGCAGCAAGAGGTGTCAGGAGCCAGGCTCAGGGTGTCCCCACGGCCTTCCATCCACAGTGGCCACAGGGAGCTATCCCTCTCAGCTCTGGGGACCCAGGGCCAGACTGGGAGCTGGGGAAGACCCCACCTGTGGGACCCACAGAGCAGAGGGCACCGAGAAAGGAACGGGGGGTGGCGTCAGGGTCTGTGGGCAAAGGAGCAGGCGCAACTACAGACAGTCTGGCTCTCAGCTGGCCGCTCTGTCGGTCTGCAGCACTGGGGAGGCCCAGGGCCTGGTGTGTGCTGGGCAAGGGCTCCACCACTGAGCTACACCCCCAGCCCTCTTCACTGAATCCTGAGATAGCGTCTTGCTAAGCTGTTGAGGCTGACCTCCAATTTGCCATCCCCCTGCCTCAGCCTCCTGGGTCACTGCGATTACAGATATACACCATCATGTCCCCCCACTCAGTTTACCATTTCTTTTTTTTTTTTAATTTATTTTTTTTAAATATTTATTTTTTAGGTGTAGATGGACACAACACAATGCCCCCATTTTTATGTGGTGCTGAGGATCGAACCCGGGTCCCGCCCATGCGAGGAGCGCTCTACCACTGAGCCACGGCCCCAGCCCTCAATTTATCATTTCTGAAAGTGGATTCCATATAAATCTCCACTGCAGAACGAAGTCTGGGGCTGGGGCTATAGCTCAGTTGGTAGAGTGCTTGCCTTGCATGCACAAGGCCCTGGGTTCAATCCCTAGCACCACAAAAAAAATAAAATAAAAAATAAAAAAAAAGAAAGAAGTTTGCAGCCGAGCAGACACTGATGAGCCTGAGGGTCTTGGCCTCTTCCTGAGGGCAGCAAACAGGCCTAAGACCTTCATAGGTCAAGCCTCAGAGTTCTTAGTTACAGGTGACCACAGTTCTAACAGATTCAGAGTCCAGGAGATGGTGAGGGGGGACAGCGAGGGAGTGGGTGAAAAATCCCTTCCCTTCCCGAGTGTCTGTCTCCCACGGTTCTGCGTGGTGAGGTGCACGGGCCTGCCCGCCAGCCTCCTGGGTGGCTCAGGAATGCACACGGATGGCCGAGCTGCTCCGGAGCTTCCCTGCCCAGCAGAACCACAGGGGAGGCCAACACCGAAGTGGCAGAGGGGAGAGACAGGGCTCCCAAGAGGGATTTGAGTCGTGGTGCCCTCTGCACGAGGAACCAAGAGGAAAACCAGCTCTGCGGGTCCTGAAACGCAGCCCACAGGTCCTGGCTCTTGGCGGGACACACAGCTCCTCGGGTCCCTGTTGTCAGCCTCCTCCCTGGTAGCAAGTGTGGCACAAAGGTCCTACGGGGGAGGACGTCCGTCCACGGGTTCTGGGCAACCGGCACTCACGTTCCCAGCATGAGGGGAAACACACCAACACCCGCACCCTGGCCTCCTCCCAACCACTGCCTCAGGGTAAGAGCCTGGGACCCCCAGGCCCAGGGCCTGGGTGCTACTCCCCCACGCCTCTCAGCTGAAGGGGCCTCCCACCATCACACAAGGGCCTCGCCTCTGCACACCTCCTGAGACAAGTGAGGGGCCACCTACCACGACAGGAGGCACCTCCAGGACCTTGTCCACATTCTTCAGCGACAGGGGCACGTACCACAGCGTAGCCTTATTGGTCAGCTTTTTGGTACCTTAAGAGAAGAAAATAATCTCTGAGAAGTGGGATGCATGGGCAGGGGCTGCCACCAGCCCTGGGCACCACAGAGCCACAGTGCCATCTCCTCTGGCCCCAGCCCACAAGGTCTTTCTCTGCCTCCTGGCCTGGGTCATGCCATCATGCAGCATGGTCCAGAGACCCACGAGCCATGCACAGAGGCTGCACAGGGCACAGCACTGCTGCTAGAAGCCCAGAGCCGCAGCCCCTCCCCAGGCTGCCCACCACGGGAGTCTCCCTCTCCAGAGGCTGCTTTCTAACACAGAGTCACACTGGTGTTTTGACAGAGGGACCGTCTGATTACAAACTTGTCAGAAGCCTCCAGGAGCCTCCCAGGCGCAGGAAGGACTGCCGGGTGCAGGTGGACCCTACTCCAGCAGGGTGGCGGAGGAGCCAGGCTGGGCCGACTCACCTGCTGGCTCTCATCCCCACCAGGACACACTGCTGACATGAGGTGTCAAAGTCCACTGAGGAGCTCAAAGTCCCAATGCCTGAATAAGCTGCATCTTCTGAACACTGTCCACCTATCCCAACATGCAGAGACTCCTGCCAGCCAAGGAACCCAGAAAGTCAGGCGGCCCACACAGACATGATGCAAAGCTTAGAAGACACACTGTACCCAGGCCAAGCGCCCCAGGGAGGGGCAGGCAGCTCACCTTGACGCTACCCCCAGGACTCCCTCAACCTTCTCTTGCACACAGACCCTGGCACTTGCTGCTGGCCAACCCAAAGCTCCAATCCAGAGCTCCCCAGTGCCTCCACATGGCTGTGGGCTGTGCACTCCCTTGGGGCACTGAGGCCAGCCATGGGCCCCCAGGGCAGGCAGCCTGGCTGAGCTGAGCACCATGGCTCCTGGCCCGCTGGTGCCAAGAGTTCAGAGACCACTGTCCACATCCCTCATTTATACAAGAAACCCCAGGCTGTTAAGCAGTTTAACCAGGGTCACATGGCAACTTGGTGACTGAGTGCAATGCAAACCCAGGCTTCCCAGGTCCCAGTTAATCACGTGATTTGTAAGGATGCCTTTAAAAAAGAGGCCCCTGGGGTGGGAACTGTGGCTCAGTGGTGGGGCACTTCAAACTCAGCGTGAGGCCGTGGGTTGGATCCTTACCACCACATAAAAATAAATACATAAATAAACAAAGATACTGTGTCCATCTACAACTAAAATATATATATAACTTTAAAAAAACACCCAGGGTAGCTAGCTCCTGGCTGGAGCGTGGCTCAGCGGGAAAGCCTGCCTGGCGTGCCTGCAGCCCTGGGTCCAACCCCCAGCGCCACAAAACAAAGAGTAAAAAGGAGGTGCTGCAACACTGAGAGGCAAGGTCTGGCGCAGGACTCCAGAGCGAGGGCCGGCAGCAGGGCCGGGGAGAAGCGCAGCCTGCCCCTGCCCTCTGAGGGGCCTCCCCAGCAGGAACCTGGGCTTCCAACACTCCAGCGAGGCCCAAGCCTAGCCCCAGGGCTCTCAACGAAAGAGGCCAGCCCGGTTCCAAACTCCGCCATCGCCATCGCCATCGCCAGCGCACCCTGCACACCCACACCACAGGGACAACCGCTTCCCAGGCTGGGAACCACAGCCAATGCTGAGGGAAAATATTTCCACCACGCTTTGACTGAGAGTGAATCTGACAACCTGCTTTTGGGAATAAAGATTTCCTGTTGGACGTGCCAGAGCCAGCCTGCTGAGCTGGTTGCCATGGAAACCCGAGTGGCCTGATAAACCTAAATGAACACCACAGAAAATACATTAATTGTACGTTTGCCACCATATCACAGAGCCACGGCCAGACCCAGAGCGTTGAAAACATGTCTTCCTGAGCCTTAAGAGCCCCCCGCCACTCTCTGGAGCAACCTGCAGCCATCAAGTCCCTGTATTTGGACAGGTGCTGGAGTGAGCGGGGTCTCAAGGCCGAGGTCTGGGGGCTGTGCCTGGCCTGCGAGGGGGAGCATGGGGTCCTGCCTCCTGGGTGAGGAGAGGGCCACAGAAGGTCAGGCCAGCAGCGCGTCAGCCTTTCCAGGTACCCACGTGCGTCCCCATCCCTCAGGGTCACTTGCCCATTCAGCCAGGAGTACCACCATGTGCCACGTGTGTACAACAGAGTCCTCACGGGCTTACCTTCCGGTGGACATGTGGGCAAAAAAAGACACGTAAGGACGGAGAGAAAGGCCTGGAGGAACAAGAGAGACCCCCTTGGGGTCCACAGGTGGAGAGACCTGGAGATGAAGGGAGGGCCCCGTGGTCACAGAACAGGGGGGGCGTCCAGTACTGCCGCGGGGCCCTGGAGCAGGATGGCCAAGATGTGGAGAGAAGCCAAGCCCCTCTGGGCTCCCAGGCCACACTGCCCCAGTCCTGTGCCCCAGGGAAGGGGGGAGCCTGGGAGGGAGAACCCAAGGTCATGGCCCCATCCAGAAAGCTGCCAAGTGAGGCTGGCTTCCTCCAAGCCCCTTTTTGTGTCTGAAGAAAACTCTCCAGCAGTGCCCCTGCCTCAGAGCAGGAGAAGCCCAGGGGCAGGATGCTGGGGACACCAGGGAAGGGACCCCGTGGGCTCTTGGCAGAGCCTCCTGCCCCTCTGTCCACTCTCACCCTGAAGCACGAGGGATCCTTAAGGACACGCCCATTGGGTGCTGTGTCCTGAGCCAGCAGAGCTGCTGGGAGTTGTGACCCAGGGCAGAGCTGCAGCCTCAGCACCACTGATCTGGAGCAGGACCATTCTCGGCTGCGGAGAGTCCTAACCTGCCTCTCCCCGTCCCAAATAGGTACCGTCCTGTTCACCGGGCCCAGGGCTGTGCTTCTGAGGCTTCCGAGACAGCCCGGCCCTGCCCTGCCCTCCATTTCTGAAGCCAGAGAGGGCCACAACCACCCACGAGGAGTAGGAGGACCAGGAGGCAAAGGTGAGGGTGGTCGTCTCCCCCTCTGCAGGACAGGCCCAGGAGAGGAAGGGCTGGCCGCCCGCGAGGCAGAGGGGCCCCACCCTGCGCCTGGCCTGGCCCTGTGCCACAGCCTGAAACTAGCACCCCAGGGTCCCTCTGAGGCCAGCATGCTGGGCTCTATTTGGGGTGTAGGACAGAATGAGGATGGTCCTCCTCCCCAGGCCTGGCTCTGCTGAGCCCTTCCCTGTGGTCCCTGGGTTGATGCACCCTGTTCCGATCACTAGCGCTGCTGAGGTCATTGCTCCTGGACCTCTTTCTTTTTTTGGTACGGGGGACTGAACTCAGGGGCACTCGACCGCTAAGCCACATCCCAGCCCTATTTTGCATTTATCTAGAGACAGGGTCTCACTGAGTTGCTTAGGACCTCACTGTTGCGTAGGCTGGCTTTGAACTCGCGATCCTCGTGCCTCAGCTTCCCAAGCCACTGGGCTTACAGGAGGATGGCACTCCTGGACCTTAAAGGAAGGAGACTGGAGCCGAGACAACCCTGCAGCAGCATTCTGCAGGGCCTCCGCTGCCAAGTAATGGGGGAAGGGCCTCCCACCCTCAGGGCCCTCGAGGTGGCCACAGAACACGCAGGGCTAGCACGCAGGCTAGCGGGGATGCAAAGGCGCCCTCTCCACCACTAACTGGTTAGAAGAAGCGTGAGAGCGTGTGAGGAGCCTTGCTCTCCTGAGGGCAAGAGGAAGAGGAAAGGGGTTTCCATGGTTACCAAGGCCACAGAGAAGGCTCTGCTGAACCTGAGGCAAAGAAAGGTTCAACCCACGGGCTCCTCACTAGGCCAGATTTCCACCCAGGCTGGCCTGACCCTCCCAGGGGCAGGCAGCGTCCTCCATCCAGAAGGGCAAGTAGGACACAGAGCAGGTAATGCCCCCAGACCACTCCCGTGCCCAGTCCAGACAAGCTGGCCACAGGAAGGCAGGGGACCAGGGTTGCATCTTGCTCTGGCTGCGTGGTCTGGCCCCCATCTGTATGACAGGACATGGGACCTGGGGGTCATGAGGGAAAGCAGCCGGCCTCCTGAGCCATCGTGGCCACTGCTGAGGCGTCTACATTCCCACCCGAGGTGGCACGGCGAGGAGCGCTGCGAGTTACCTGTGAGGATGTTCTCAGACATCACATTGACCTGGACCTCCACCGAGTGCTTGGAGGTGTAGGTGATCTCCGCGCTGACGTGCGCCACCTCCCCAATGCACATGGGAGACAGGAAGTCAGTGCGCTCCACACGGGCCAGGGCAGCCACACAGCGCTCCTGCAGAGACAGAGACAGCCCATCAGCCAGCCCGCCCGACTGTAAAGCAGCTCAAGGTGCTAGACGCACAGGACCCGGGAAAGCCACCCAGAGCAGCCGCTGGCCACATCTCGGGTCAGGCGATCGCCAGTGACATCTAAACTTTCTATCCTAAAGGCACATCACTGGGTAACACAACGCAGACATGCTCCTGGGAGACCTGGAATCTTCCTGAGAACAGGGCCTCGCTGGCTGTGCCGGCTCCCGTTCCACGCCTTCTGTCTAAGCCTCTGGGGGCAACTAGATGTCTGCTTTCACACTCCATCTGTCCCTGTGGTGGCAGCTCTTGGCAGTGACTACTTTTATCTCATTTAGATTCTATTTTTTCAAAGAGGCAGCCCATTCTCATAATTCAGATTCAGAAGGAATGAAAGGGTGCGCATTGCCACCTGTCCCCAGCCACCTAGGAGTCCTGAGGAGCCTACACTGACAGATGCACCTCTACACCACAAGATGGGTCTCTGAGCCCATGCGCCTCTTTCTTCATCTGCCTTGAGGGTGGTCCCATGGGTACACGTCACGGTCTATTCAGGCAGTTTTATTCCAAGGACACTGACCTCATTCACGAGAGCTTTGGGGGACACAAACCTTCAGCCCACAGCAGAACCCAACAGGCTCCCTAACCCTGTCCATGGTACCCCGCTGCAAAACTTTCTGTAATGGCCAAACAGAGCGGGATCTCTGCTGCCAGAGTTCAGGGACGGCCTGAGTCGCTCCCCAGGGTAAACAATGCCATGGCGGCTCCTTTCACCTAAAGATTTTCTGTGCTGCCATTATCTTCTGGGTCCAGTGGACCAAGATTTGGACAGACATTCCCAAAGTCTTTTTCAAAAGGCCAGCAGTGATCCCCCAGCCTCCGGTGCCACACACTTCCTCACTGGAACTAAGGGCCGACTCATGTTCACCAATGCTGGTGGAAGGAGAGTCTGTGTGGGAGCTGGCATCGTGGGCCTCATCTTCCTGGGGTTCCTCAGCACTGCAGGACTTTCTGCTGGAAACTGCCGTCTTCCTCAGGATGCTACTGGCAGGAGGGGGAGGGACAACGGCGCTCGCCACTGCACCCTTTTCCAAGGCTGAGACCTCAGGCAAGCTGCTGGTGGTCATAGGTGAGCAGGTGCAGGCAGTCCAAGCCCTGCTGTGTGGGCCACAACCTAGTCACCAGCTGCCTGCCCCCACCCGTGGCACGATGCGCGGCTGAGAACCACGGTTCCAGGGCCCACCACCAGTCAGAACATGCCTCCCTGGAAGCAGTCAGGGAACCCTGAATATAACCCTCTCCCAGGCGACTCTGTGTTGCTGAACCATAAACCTGGCGGGACAGCTCTCAGCAGGCAACTGGGGCTGTGCAGAAAACAGGGGCACCTGGATGAAGTCCTAAAGCCAAGCTGGCCAGGCAGAGCGCTTCCCCACTGACTGCAGGCGCCTGCCCCACCCAGAGCCCCACATGCTTCAGTGGAGGCAGGAATCAGACTTGGCCTGGAACATCCGCGTGGATGTGGCACCACCCTCTGGCAGGAAGCTGGAAGGACAAGGGCTGCACGGAGCCGCACAGGTCGGCACCACCTCTGGGTCTGGGAGCACTACTAACAGCCCAAGCTCTGCTGGCAGACCAGAAAACTGGCGCAGCAAGCGGCCGTTACCGGGAGTGCTCAAGTGAAGTCATGGTACAGACTTGCTCACACGCGCGAGACATGCACACATGCACATCTTGGGGACGGGGGCCTGGCACCTCCCACTCTGCACTTGTGGCTGACCGGCAGACACTGCAGCCTTCTGCACTCCAGAACATGGGTGGGCTGCAGACTCCATCAGTGATGGGTACAGAGCCAGCCACTGCCCTCTGCAGGCCTGCAGGGGCGAGTCGGAGCATCTGGCCTCCAGGGCAGGGTGGTCATCAAGTCAACACCACGTAAGTCCTGTCGGGTAGAGGCTCAGGAGACCCCACGGGGATGTAGTGGGGAGAAAACATCAGACCAGGAGGAGATGCTGAGACCCAAATGACCAGGGGTCGGCAGGGAGATGGGGGGACTCCAGGGAGCAGGGCCAGGGCTCCCGAGAGGGGCGGAGGAGGAGCAAAGGCTGCCGCTCTGCTCAGGTTGGTCCTCCAGGCAGAGCTGCAAGATGGAGTGACTTGTGGCAGGAGGAAAATCCAGAGTTCCTCTGCGCTGTCCCCAGGGTTGGACCCCCATGAGCCTTCCACACAGCTACACCAGGCCGGTGTGGGGACACCTGGTGCCTGCCCTTCCTTCCCTGTTGGGAGACCACCCATGAACCTTGAGTTTTGCTCTCTGGACTTAAAACACTGAAGAAGGGCAGGGGGCTGCTCCACAGCCGCGGGAACGAGAGTCTGTGTGTGTGGGGGGGGAGGCAGCTGTGCTATTCAGCACTTGGGCTGCTACGACTGCATCTGATGGGTGCAGGTGGCAGAAGTCGTACCCAGGGCAGCTCTGATGTGACTGAGCGGCTGTCTCCAGGACCTAGCAGGGCGCTGGACCCAGGCCAGACTGCCACCGACCGGTAGACCCAGAAATCAACATGTGGCCTGGGAACATTCACACTCAGCACGGTGTCAGGAGTGCCCTGCACCTCCCTGCTCCAGAACCTGCAGGCGAGGGCAGTGGCAGCTCGGGGAGGACCATGAGCAGTCTGATCAGCATCTGCCCCGTAAGTGCCCTCTGCTGTACCCCAGAAGCCAATCAGTGTCATTCTGTCACTGGGGAGCTGTGGACAGGATTCCCGATCTGTCCCAGGGCTTCAGCAGGACAGTAGCTTCAGAGACTGAGCTGGGTTCAAGGGCCAGCTCTGCTGCCTACTAGCTCGGGGATGTCGGGCAGTCTCGGCCTCTTCACAGGCACAGTTACTAAACGGTACCACCGGGCTGCTGCACAAGTTCTGAGTGGGGAAACGCAGTGCTTATGAAAGGCCCGGGAGGGACAGCGGCCACCCTGGCTGCACGGTACCAGGTCCGCCCCCAGGGCTGGCTCCTGCACCACCTCCATTTGCCTTACCTGCCCCCACCCCTGTGGCTGAGGGCAGCTCAGAAGGGCGGTTCTGTGCCCTCTGGAAAGGCACAGGACTTCTCTAGGCCTCAGTGTCCTCACAGGAAAACAGGATTAAGAACAAAGCCTTTCAGCTGACGGCAGGAACAGTCACGCAGGGTGGGAAAGGTCAGGCACAGGTGGGCAGAGGCACACGCTCTCTGCAGACACCTTCCAGAAGCCCACAGCATCCAGCGCCAGCCTCAGCCCTCTGGGCCAAGCACCCTGTGGGAACCAGGACACACACCACTGCCCTCGCAGGGGGCCAGGTCCTGGGGAGGCAAGGCTGCGTGCTGGGTTGCACAGAGACCGCAGACAGCAGAGGGAAGGGCCTGGGAGTACCTGGGGAAGAGGGCCTCAGGCGGAGAGAAGAGCCTGAGCAAAGGCCCTGAGGCAGGGAGAGCCGCAGAGATGAGGTCCCAGAGCTGGGGCGAGACAGGGACTCGGGCTTGACTCTGAGAGAAGGGAGCTGCCCTGCAGTGGTGTCCACTGATCCCACACGTGAAGGACTCTGGCGACTGCTGGAGCACAGATGAGGTGGGAGGTGGGCAGACTGCTGGGGTGACCTATCAGGAGGCTCACACCAGGTGGACCAGGCAAGGGAGGCTCAGAGAGGAGGTGACCTGGAGCTGGCCAGTGCTCAAACCAGGCTGCACCCGGAAGATAAGCAACATCAGAGGGTCACAGCGTGAGAAGAGGTGTCAAGGGAGACCCCAGGTTTGACCTGAGTCAGGAGGGTTTGCAGAGGTCACTCACCAGGAGAGGACACTGCAGGAGAAGTGAGCCTGGGGTCCACTGAGGTCGAGACTGGCACTGTGGTAGGAGTTGCAGGCTGGAGGCCACCACCAGGGCCTAGTGAAGTTCCCCAGTTGTCAGCCTGCAGCCACCTGCAACTAGAGGTGCTGGGCTGCCTGGAAGTGAAACCCCTCCTGAGCCTGGAACCTCTAAACCGTTATTCTGGGGTCCACCTGCCCAGAGGCTTCGCCCAGCCCAGTTGTCTGGACTGTCCCTCCCCTCTGCAGGCCTAGAGGAACAGGGGCTCCACGCAGAGCTCCAGGCCTGGACTCATGGCCCAGACCTATCCGACCCCTTGGGTGGCCTCCACCTCTCCCAAGGCTCAGTTTCCTCATCTGTGCAACAGGGATGACAAGAACAGCAAGGCCACCACATCTCCAGCCGTCCTGGGGATCACTGAGCTGAAGCTCTCCGAGCTCTGCCAACACTGCTGACCACGTGGTTTCTACAGCCTCAACTGCATGGGTGCCCCTTGTCTCCTGAGCCCCGCCATGCCCCAGTCCTGGGGGCTCTTCCTTCCTCATGTCACCTGCTCTTGCCAGGCCTGCCTGGGACCGTCTTTCTCTTGAAGGTCTACCAGGGCCTTGGCCCACTCCTTCCTGGCCTCCTGCAGGCCCATCCTCCTGCAGCCACCAGAGGGTGCTCTGATGTGGCCTGGTGACAGCCCAGCTTCTCCTGACCCCCCTGGATAGCACAAAGCCAACTGATCAGGTGGGCCAGCCTCCTCCACCAGGCCAGGCCCCCACGTCCACCTGTCCACAGCGCTCTGGCCTGGCACGTTCTGTGCACGCGGGCTTTGGCTTCTCCACTGGAAAACAGGGCCCACCACTGAGGGCTGAATGTGCGTACTACAGTCACAATGTCCGTGTTCCCCAAAATTCATGTGTTGAAACTCATGTTTTAGGAAGTGGGGCTTTGGGGAAGGGAATAGGTCATGTGGGGGGAGCCCTCGTGAATGAGGTTAGTGGCCTTCAAAAGGGACCGCAGAGAGGTTCTTCACAGCTTCCACCAGGAGAGGCAGTGGAGAGGCGGGAGAGCAGACTTCCAGGCCTGCCCATCCAGGCACAGGTGGAGGAGAGGCGAGGACGGCCCCAGAGCACTGCCTGAGGAAATCAAGCAAGCGAGACAAGAAGCTACTTGCCCTACGTTGTACCTATCAAGGTGTGACAGCATCGAGTCTTCACAGCAACGTACACACCTTACTGAAAGTTACTTTATCGTGGGGCTGGGGGCTGCAGCTCAGGGGTAGAGCACCTGCCCAGCACGCGTGCGGCCCAGGGTTCCATCCCCAGCACCACAAACAAACTTCAATGCTCCAAAGTGCTAATGATCACCTGCGTCTGGAGCAAGCCAGAATCTCTGCTGGTGGAGGCTCTTGCCTGTCATTTCTGACTCAGACTGGTCAGTGGCTGGAGAGGCTGCGGTGGTTTCTTTCTTTGTTTTTTGGGTGGTCCTGGGGATGGAACCCCAGTTCCCGCCCACAATGTGCATGTGCTCTCCCACTGGGCTGCAGCCCCAGCCCACCAGTTTCTTAAAACAAGACAGAAGTTCACCACATCAACTGACTTTGCTCCAAGGTCTCTGCAGGGGACAGGGGACGCTGCTGACAGCACCATACCCACAGTCACAGTCAATCCTCTGAATCCCTGCGGCCACTCCTCAACTTAGTTTATGTGACATTCTCAAGCCTCTGTCGTCATTTCAGCAGCGTTCCCTGCACCCTCAGTGGATTCCATCTCCAGACAGCGCTCTCGTAGCTCATCAGTAAGAGGCAGCTCCTTGTCCCTTGAGATGGCAGCAGTCAGGCCCCACTTCCAGTCCCCCTGCTGTTCCCACCGCACCTGCAGCTCCTCCTCCACTGGAATCCGGAAGCGCTGGATCAAGCCTGTCCAGACTCTGGTGAAGTGCTGGTGTTCTGACCTCCTCCCTGAGTACCAGATGCTCTTAATGTCATCTTGAATGGCGGGTCCTTTCGGGAGGCGTCCTGTTGACTTTGCCCAGATCCATCAGAGGGACACTGTTTAGTGTACTTTGCTGTGTGCAGTGCTGGGCCTCACGCAGGCTGGGCAAGCGCTCTGCGCTACTGATGGCAGCCACGGCCTTAGGAAATGTGTCTCTGTGATAATCAGACTTAGGAGCTGCACAGTGAGGCTGTTGGCAGGCATGAATGGACATCAGTCTCGCGGAGCATCTCCCCAGAGCCCCTGGGAGACCAGCGCGCTGTCGGCGAGCGCTTGGGAAGGACTCTCTTCTCACGCAGCGGGTTCCACGGTGGACGCGCTCAGCAAGCCACATGACAACAGGGACGTCACAGCCTTGGCCATTCCCTTTACGGAGCACAGGCAGCAGAGCTGTGTCACTCGGAAGGCCCCAACGGGCTTCACCTTCCCCTTGAAGTCACCAGCTGCCTTCGCCCTTAACAAGGAGTCACTGTCCTTTGACGACCTACTCAGGCGCTGACTTCTCCGCAGCCATCAGAGTCCTGGGCAGCACCTGCTTCCACAGAAGCTGCTCCGTCTACACTGGAAATCTGCTGCTGGTGCAGCGGCTCCATCAGCCGTCCCAGGGGACGATCCTGGGGACAACTCTGAGCTGCTTCACCGCCCTTGCTGCGTCACCTGCACCGGGACTGGTGGAGCCTCAGGAGCGACCTCTGCAGCCTCACCTCTCGGTCCCCCAAGAGGGAGAGTGGGGGCCTGGCTCTGGCTACACCTGGCTCAAGGGAACGCTGTGGCTGGTTTGATCTTCTGTCCAGACCAGCAATCAGGCTTGTGAAGGTTTGGATCTAAGAGGTGCCAGAGGCCATGAGTCAACAGCTGGGCCTACAGCCAGTGCTGCTGCTGGGAGGTGACAGAAACTTCAGGAGGGGAAGCCTGGTTGGAAGAGGTGGGGACGTGCCTCTGAGGGCTGTGTCTTGTCCTGGGATCCTCCCTGGCTGCCTTGGGCTTGGCAGTCCCCCATGCCACACCCTCCAGGCCCAAAGCAACTGAGCCAGTCTCCAGAGCCAAGACAAACCTGTCCTCCTCTAAGATGTTCTTCTCAGGTGTCTGCCCCGTGACAGCCAACACCTGACAAGTGGCTCTCAGCACCCCTCCCAGAGCGTCCTCCACCTGCAGAGCTCCCCAGCCCTGGGCTGTCTGGGCAGCTCCCCACGCCGTCCACTCCCACCATAGAGGCCACTGCGGAGTTACAGCTGCTCTGATTTCAGTATCGTTATGTTTCAAGGAGCAGGAAAGCCCAAGAACAGGGAGACCGCTGGTGGAACAGCAGCACACGCACATTCACGATGAAGTTTACCCACTTACACCACTTAGAGAGGTGCAGCTCATGGCACCCCAAACAACTGGACAGTGACACCAAAGTTCACTGAGCAGGCCAGGCGTGGTGGTGCCTGCCTGTAATCTCCGTGCCTTGGGAGGCTGAGGCAGGAGGATCACAAATTCAAGGCTAGCCTCAGCAATTTAGTGAGGTTGAAAGCCTGTCTCACCAAGGGATGTAAAATATATGAAAAGCCTAAAAAAGGACTGGGGATGTGGCTCAGTGGTTAAGTGTTGAGAGCCACAGTTTAGTTGGAATGACACCTGGCATTTTGCTAGAGGGAATGGTTGAAAGATGACCCTGTTCCGGGATTCGGGCGGCTCCAGGAGTTGGGGCTCCAGGAGTTGGGGCTCCGGGAATTGGGTGGATCCTGCTGGGAATAGGGTTGCTCCAGGATTAGGGCTGATCCTGCTGCCTCCGGCGCCAGCTACTTTGAAGTTCCCATTGAGTTCTCGCGGGGTTCTGAGAGAATTGGCGCGCGGAGCCCAGTGGAAGCAGTGTGTTCCTGGGAAGTGTGTGTAGAGGGCCGGTAGCGCCCCCCCCACCGCGCGCGCTGGGCCGGGTCTTCTCAGAGTCGGGTTGCTTGGGAATGCAGCCCAAAGCGGGTGGTAAACTCCATCTAAGGCTAAATACCGGCACGAGACCGATAGTCAACAAGTACCGTAAGGGAAAGTTGAAAAGAACTTTGAAGAGAGAGTTCAAGAGAGGCGCCCATGGACGGTGCAGCAGCTAAGCACTCCTGGATTCAATCCCCAGTGCTAAAAAAAAAAAAAAAAAAAGATCAGGATCAGGACTAGGGTGTGGCTCAACGGTGGAGCACTTGCCTGGCATGAGTGAGCCTCGGGTTCCATCCCCAGCACCGCTCCCACTCAAAAGAAAAAAAAAAAGACCACTGACCACAGATCACCAGAACAGATAAAATAATGAAAACCTTGAAATATTCAAGAATCCCCAAATCGTGACACAAAGTGTACACATTCCCTCAAAACAAGGGCACCACAGGCCTGCTCAACGCAAAGACGCCCCAGCCAACGCCAAAGACACCCCAGCCAACGCCAAAGACGCCCCAGCCAACCCCAAAGACGCCCCAGCCAACCCCAAAGACGCCCCAGCCAACCCCAAAGACGCCCCAGCCAACGCCAAAGACACCCCAGCCAACTCATACAGAGAATGCCACCTGCAGAAGGCAGGTGATGGCTCAGCCCACATGTCCCTCTTCCACTGTGCCCACCTGTTCCCAGAGAACTAGTGGCACCCCCATGGGTCCCCAGCCTCTGACCTCACTTCCTCTCAGCCCCCTGGTGGAGCAGACTGACCTCGTGCCCACTGCAGCACCTGGAGGGGTCCTGTGGTTTCTCCCCCTCTGCCCGGGAAGCCCAGCAGGGGGCTCACAGGGCCCAGAGCACACAGCCATGGGTCCCCCGTGGTGCCACCTCTCTGCCTGGCCCCAAGATGCAGCAGCTGCAGCAGGACAGTGTGTCCTCCCTTGCTCTCTGTCTCTCCAGGCATGGCTACAGACCCTGCCCACCCCGCCCTGGCCACACACTGCCTCTCACTGTGCAGCTGCAGGGGTAGGCAGAGGGTGGGCCCATCAGGCCCCGCTGTGTACACCTGTTGGGCTTCAGAACAACAGGAAGTGACTGAGGCCCAGAGAGCCACAGCATTGGTCACCAGCTGAGGTGGGCCCCAGGATCGGGCTGTGTGTCCCAGTCGTCTCGGCTCTCGGCCATCGGGACAGACCACACCCCACAGAGGCCTGCTCTGCTTCAGACCAGAAGTGAGCCAATGGGACCCGTAACAGGGCAGGATGGTGAGAGGGCCTGCCGTCCCCCGGAGCTCCTCCCGGAACGTTCAGAGGTGAAGTGGCCGGAGTACGAGGGACCCCACCAGGCCGTCCTGACCAGGCCTGCCTGGAGCTCCCTGCAGGCAGGTGGGGCGGGCTAGGGGAGGAGGGTCACAGGCTGCCCTGGACCCCGGCCGCCCCTCCCCCACCCTTCTCCCTCCCAGTCTCTCTCTCTTTGTGCTTCCTGCTGCCAGGAGGGGAACAGCGTCCCTCTGGGGGCCCTGCGGCCATGACGTGTGCCTCACAGTGGGCCCAGGGTAGTGGAGCCGGCCGCCCATGGACTGAGGCCCCTGAAACCAGGAGTCCCCAAAAAACTTCCTCCTCTAAGTTGCACTTATCAGGTGTTTTGCTCATAGTGAGTGACAAAGAAGTGTGACTGGAAACAGCCTCTGGGCGCCTGCCAGCTCCGCTCAGCCTTTCCACCACCAAACACCATTCCAAGGGCCTGCCCAGGGCTGATGGCGCTGCAGCCCCCAGGACCACCAGGCCTGCGGGGCCAGGAAAGGAAGGCTTCAGACCCGGGTCCCCTGCAAACGCCCTCCCTGACCCTCACTGGCGCCCTCCCTGACCCTCCCTGGTGTGGCTTCTAGGTGCAGAAGCTCCTGCCTGACCAGGCTGGCCAGGTCCGGCCGTGCCTACCCCGTTCTGGCTGTTGCAGTGCCGGGTGCTGATGATGGCGCCCGCCTCCTCGATCATCTTCAGGACGGTCCCGCCGTGGACATTGCCAGCCACATTGGCATCATCTGGCCGCATGATCCTGGGACGGGAGAGAAGAAACGGAGTGAGTGGAGGAGGCCCCCACAGGGCTCAACGGCTCCCCAAGGAAGGAGAACGCTGCAGGGAGGGTCTCCCCATGTGCTGTGCTCGTCAGAGCCGAGTGCCAACCTGACAGGCCACGGAAGGGGCTCCACAGTCCTCTCCCTTCTAGAGCCATGGCACCAGCCTGTGAGGAGAACCCCGCCCTGCAATCTGGGCATCACAGAAGCCCTGCCCACCGACTGTGGAAGAGGAACCACAGGAGACAACGAGGGCAGCGCCACTGCTGAGGGGGGCAGCACACAGGTGGGGCTGTAAACGCAGCATCAGCAAAGCCACGAAGCAGGCAACAGCTCAACTGCTGGCAGCCCCAGAGTGCCAGGCGTCCAGGACACAGACGGTGACCCCAAAAGCTAATAAGGGACCACCGCTTCAGTCAGGAGTCCCAGAGCCTCTGGGCAGCCATGACTGACCTGAGAACTGGACACAAGTCATAGCTTCAAGCCCCCTGGGACCCGTCAACAGGAGACCGCTGGCCCTCTCTGTCCACGTGGTAGGAAGCCCTCCCAGTCCTCGTGGGGTCCAGGCCAGCTCAGAGCTGCAGCTTCCACTATCCTCGCTGTGTACACTCTCAGCATAGAAGTGCCACTAAATGTCCAGAATCCCAACGAGCCAGTGTGACAGTCCTACCACAGGCAACCCTAGCAGGGCCTGGCGCGTTCCCAGGAAACTGCAGGGCTAACGAATCCATCTTCAAGCCCAGAGTCAGGTGACGAGCAGAGGGCACGTACCTGGGGGTCCAGCACCCCCACCCTCAGACCAGCACACTGGGGCCTCAGACCAATGCACCTGGAGCAACTCCAGCCCGGCCCCAGCAGCTGGGAAGCTGATCAAGAGGCTGAGCAAGTCTGACTCGGGACAGCAGGCCTGGCTCCAGCTCCTGCCAGCTGGGTGTCCTGGGCCAGCTGCCAAAGTGCATCCCTCCATTTCCTCACTGTGAACCGGACATCGCTACAGCTGGCCTCACCTGGCCATGGGCAGGCAAACCACACCCTCAGCGGTGGCCTGCACATAGGAAGCGCTCAGAGAACAGGATCCAGCAGCACATCCTCTCTTCTTTGAGGGTCTAGCCAACCTGGCTGGGCTCCCAGAGCCAACAGGTGACACTTTCTAAAGCAAGTGAATGTAGATCCCCTCAAATGACTGACAGTTGTGTACTGGGTGAAGTGTGGCTTCTGGACTTGGCACCAGGTAGGACCCAAGGGCCCCTGGGGGCCAGGGTAGCCCATGGAGACCAGGAGCAGTGCCATGTGTGATGGGTACCAGGGAACCCCAGAGCACAGAGGAACTTCACCTGCTTCTAACGTGCACCTAAAAGTATTTCAGTATTTTTAAAAATTGAGTTTCTGCTAATAAGGGGTTTTTGAGTTTTTTAAAACACCTTTTTGTAATATATGTATATATTTTAGATGTTGATGGACCTTTGTTTTGTTTATTTATTTGTAAGCAGTGCTGAGAATCAAACCCAGTGCCTCACACATGCCAGGCAAGCACTCTACCCCTAAGCTACAGCCCCAGCCTCGGTTTTTGAGCTTTTTAAAGTCTGAGTTAAGAAGCGGCCAGCAGCCGATGTCCTTTGATTCTGTTTCCACGACAGCAGGAGGGGCCTCCTGCATCTGGCTGCACCGGGCCGGGGGTCCCTTTTCCATGTGCCAGCTTGCCTTGCTTTGGGCACAGGACAAACTGCAGCCTGCTGGGGAGACAGGGCCCTGCCGAGTTCCAGGGCAGGGAGGAAACTCAGCTTTCCACAGGAGCACTGGAGCCTGGAGGGGCACCCGGTCCACCTCTGCAAGCCAAGCTTGGCCTGCCTGTACAGGGGGCCGCAGACGGCAGGCTGACCAAGGGTGATGCTGCAGGCCGGAGAGAGGAAGGATAGGCCAAGGGCCACAGAGCCTCAGAGGAAAGGACTCCAGCCAGTACCCAGGAAGGAAGCAGCCAGAGACAGCGCAGGGGGTGAAGGAAGGACCTGGGGCCACTTCGAAGAACCGGAGGCTCAAAGTGAGGGACGCTGAGCCACCAACACCCTGTTGCCGACCCCAGGGACTCTGGCCCTTGGTGATAACCCATGGGAATAAGCACCAGGGATGCCAAATGTCACCCCCAGCCTGACCACCTTCCCTCTGGCCCTGGGTCCTGCACCAAGGCTGTCCTAACTCTCTAGACCAACTGGTCTCCCAGGAACGGGCCTCGCCTAGGTCAGTCTAGGCACAAAGGACCTCATTCCTGACTGAGGACCTGCTGTCGCCTCCTACAAGAGGCCCAAAACCCAGCTCGTGCCCCTGCTCCACAACAGGACGATCCCCAGACAGCCCAGCCTAGATTCCTCGCCTTCCTCCACCCTCTCCAGCCCTGCCCCAGCATCTGCCTCCCCGCCCTCCTACCCCCACCCCACCCCCGCTAGCCAAGAAGTGCCCCCTCCAGCAGGCAGGTGCAGGGGGCTCGAGGGGAGCCCGGAGGACACAGGGCCCCCCCCGGAGCTCTCGGTTCCTCAGTTTTAACAACATGGGCATGAGAAGGGTCCCGAGTTCCTCCACAGTCTTAAGAGGAGGAGAGGAGACGTCCTGGCAGAGCGGTGCCAGCGCTGGGAGGGGACGTGGACCGCATACAGTGTGGGACGGCCGCAGGAACGTCCAGGAGGCTAAGCTCCCAGGTGTTCCAAAGCCTGATGTCCCAAGCTCACCATCTAACTGACAGGCCTGACCCGGTCCTGAGACCCACCCCCCCCCATGCCAACCCTGCACTCCCTGCCCCTACACAGAGCTCAGAAACCCAGGGACAGGCCACTGGTCAGCCCAGTGACAGGCTCCTGCACAACCGCCTCCCCTCGGCGGGGCCTGGCCGCTCAGTCCTCACCAGAAGCCCTGGAAGCCAGCAGAGCTGGGGCTGCTGACTCACTCCTACCCCCGCCTCTGTCCCAGCTGCTCCCATCCAGGTCAGAACATCTGTCCCATCAGCGTGGGGCGAACAGACCAGGCAGGGGCCCAAGGCCACCCCCAGGGCCACCTCCCTCAGCAGCAACCTCTCTGGCGTGGGCAGCAAGTCGATGACAAGGGCCCTCGGGAAGCTGAGCAAACACAGGTCAAGAAGCCACCCCAGGCTCTGGGAAAACTTCCTAGAGGAAGTGACACTTTGGCCATGTCCTGGAGGGTGAGCCAGGGATCACGGAACATTCCAGGGAGAAAGGGGGCTTCAAAGGGGGTCCTACCCCAAAGCCAGCAGTGAGTTTCAGAAACAAAGCCACCCCAGGAAGCTGGCATGAGGCCCACACAGGGGTGAGGACAAGATGGGTGCAATCAGAGACCCGTGCTTGCCACATGAGGCTGGGGACAGCCTGGATTCCACTTTGGAAGGAGGGACCCTCGGGGGGACACTCAAGCAGGGGCCACACTCAGATGGGTGTTTGGGGAGATCGGCCGGCTTCTGCCCAGGTACTGACTCACCGCTCACCTGGCCGCCCCCAGGGAGATTTGTGAGGTTGGCTGAGACTCCAGGGCTCTTCCTGTCTGCAGAACAGTCAGGCACACGAAGCCCTGAGACATCCAGATCTTTCCTCATCTCACCTGCACCTGCCTGCGGGGCTTCCAAGCCACAGCTGCCCTTCCCCACGTCCCGCCTGTGCTCAGCTGTCCAGAAACACCTGAAGAAAAATGGCCACCTGAGAATGGAGCAGTTCTGATGAGCCTCACGGAAGGAGGCTGGCATCAGCCATCAAAACCCCACATGCTCAGCGCGCCCAGGCTAGCAGTTCCACCTGCAGGCAGCTGCCCCTCAGGTACCTCTGCCCCCATAAACCAAGTGTGGTCCCAGCTGCTTGTGCAAAGACTGCTGTGACACGGAGGCTGGGCACCTGCCCCTGTCAGCACAGAGAACCTCAGCAATCTTCACACCATGGATCACACTCTGCTTGAGCAAGAGGCAGGAAGGTCTGAGACGCAAGGTCAGGTAAAACACAGCCAGGCACAGGCCAGTGGGGACAAGGGGACCTGAGCATGCCTCTGAAAGCCCTCGGTGCTCCTAGGAAAGGAAGAGCAACTAGACAAGGGCTCAGTGGGCTTCCAGATTTCAAACCACCTCAACCAGAAATTGTTTAAGGCACAGCTCAAGACACTCATCCTTCGCATGGCCTTGGCCACCTCGACATCACACATGGACTGGCCAGGACCCGTCCCAGGAGTGCCTTGCAGCAGTGGTTCTGCCATGCCAGCCTCAGGGGAGGTACCCAAGAGGCTGGCCGCACCCCCTGCTCTTCCAGATCCCCCTGGGTGGAGCCCAGCCTGGAGCCTGGGATGAAAAGCCACGTTCAAGTCCTAAACCCTGTGACTACAACTGATCTTGTTCTGAATCATCCTTGCAGATGTGGCTCAGGTAAGAGGAGGCCACTCTGCACCAGGGTGACCCCAGGCAGTGACTGACTGACCTGAGACACAGGGAGGAGGCCGTGCAAAGACAGAGGCTCAAGTGGCACAGCCATCAGTCAAGGACCACCAGGGACAGCCCAAAGTCACCAGAAGCTGAGACAGACACCTCCCCTAGAGCCCCCAGTGGGAACACGGCCCTGCAGATACCTGGACTTCAGACTTCGGCCTCCAGATTTAACCCCTAGGAGAGAAGACAGGTCCCTGCTGTTTTAAGCCACCTGCTCTGTGGTCATGTCTCATGGCAGCCCTGACGGAGGTCCCTGCTCCTCCTACAGAGGCAGCAACAAGTGGCAGAGATGGGCCCACACAGCCACAGGGTGGCCACAACAGCCAAGCCAGTTCAGCCCCTGCAGCCAAGGCCCTGCTCAGCCATCTTGGCAGCAGCCCCGAGGTGCTGACCCCTGTCCACCCCTCCCACAGCATGCTGGGAGTGCGGCCAGGGTCTCTGACTCTGCCTCCAAAATGTCAGCGCTAAAATTACAACTCTGCTGCCTGAAAACCATGGCAACGAGGCGGCTTCCTC